CACAGCGCCGCCGCCGGGGCTCAGCGGGGGCAGCGGGAACCCGCCCGCGCCACGGCCCGACATCGCTCCGTCCCGTCCCGCGGTGCAGCGATCCGGGCTCCGCTCCGAGTCCGCTCCGCGCGCTGTGCTCCGCGATCCGGGACTTTCCGATCCTAATTCCGGGTTCCGGGATGTATTACTCCGGGTTCCGGGATTTCCCAACCCGAAATTTGAGAGTTCCTCGCTGATCCGCTTTAAAACAGGGCCGACCCTGACTCCGCTCCAGAACTAGGCGATTCCGGATCCGGGATCTGCCGCGAGCCCGTCCGCCGCCCCCGGACTCCGCGGGCTTAGCCTAGCGGGCCAGTAGCCCAGGGGCGGCTACTTACCTCGGCCCCACCCAACTCGAGGCCCGCCCCCACCTAGCCGCCCAATGGAGAGCGCCCTCCTAAACCCCGCCCCCTGAGTGCCCGCCCCTAACCGGCCGCCGCAGAGCTCCGCCCCCTCGGCCCGCCTTTCATTGGAGGGGCGGGAGCGGAAGCGGCCCACGGAAGCTGCGGGCAAGGCGGGGGTCAAAGGTCGAAAGTCACCTAGGATTGCCGCAGTGGGCGAGGAGTTGCTTCCGTCTCCCGGCTGTAACCGCGTCAGTCCTATCAGGCTACACAGTACTCCCTGCAAATAATTTTGTCAGGTCTTCATTTCCAGTGTTAAAGACTACTTAGAGCAGTTCTCTGGGCCAGAACAGCTGCTAACAGGACTTTGTTAGAAGCCCATCCTTCCCGGGCGTGGTGGCGCACGCCTGTAATCGCAGCACTCGAGAGGCTGAGGAAGGAGGATCGCCGTGAGTTCGAAGCCAGCCTGGGCTACAAAGTGAGTTCCCCAGTCTGGACTACAGAGGGAGAGCCTGTCTCAAATTAAAAAAAAAAAAAAAAAAAAAAGCCCATCCTGATTGCTGTGAACTGCCAAGGATCATGGGCGTCTCCAGACTGGTTCCAGCTGTGTGAAGGTCTGAGATGGCCAAGCCCTGAGTTCTTATCACATTTTTTAACATGGCTTTGCCTCACTTAAAGAAGCCTGGTATTTTACTCCACTGGCAATTATTTTAGGAGAAGGAAATTTGCATAGTGAAAGAACTTGTAGTCCTTTGTCCAGTTAATTTTCAAAAATTCAGTAACTTTTCAGAAACTACTGCCCTTGCTGGGCGTGGTGGCGCATGCCTGTAATCCTACCACTCCGGAGGCTGAGGCAGGAGGATCATCGTAAATTCGAAACCAGCCTGGGCTCCAAAGTGAGCTCAAGGCCAGCCTGAACTGCATAGTGAGACCCTGTCTCAAAAAGACAAAAAAAGAAGAAAGAAACGACTGCTGTATATCAGACTGTATTCAACATAGAGTGCCTCAGCTGTGATAGGTGGTGTAGGGTCTGCTCCCCATCGTACAGATCAGTGCTTCCTAAGCTTGCATAAGGAAAAAGTAAATCACCAGAGGTTCTTATTAAAAACGCAGTTTATGATTTAGTGGGGAGGGGAGGCCCAAGGGCCAAACTTCTACCTAACAAGCTCTCAAGGCGTGCTATGAGTAGACCACACTTTTCGGTAGCCAGGAAATTTTTTTTCATATGAAACTCTTCTACTTTATGTTTTCAACCCCAGGCAATCGATTACCAGCAGAGGTCGTTTTAGGAATTAGTTCTCACCTGTTCTGTATCTTTCCCTGCTGAAGCTGCTTTCCTCTCAATCTGGTGGAGAATTCCTCTCCATTCTCACTGAGAATTGGTTATGGGATAGTCTACCGAAATTGTTAGTTAACAGTCACTGAATTATGTCTCCTTCTCTCCCCCATTAGGTAGATAGTGGTCTCCCTTACTTTTCTCTCCTTGCTGAGACAAAATACCCAACACCCAAAATTAAGGAAGGAAAGGTTTGGGCTGGGGATATAGCTCAGTGGCACAAGCGCCTGCCTGGCAAGCGCAAGGTCCTGAGTTTGATTCCCAGTACCCTCCTCCAAAAAAAGGAAGGAAAGGTTTATTTTGCTCACAGTTTGTGAAGGTTTCAGTCCATCCCTGGCTGGCTCCAAGGCAGAGTGGCACATGGCAGAGGGCAGCAGTGGGTGGCAGAAGGCAGCAAAAGCAACAAGAGCAAAAAGGGAGAAGGAGCAGCAGTAAGCCTCTTTCCCTCCCTTAAATTGTGTGCAGGCTACCTGTCCCAGGGTGGGTGTAGCACTCACCCATAATCCTAGCATTGGACCATGGATCAGTCAAAAAGCCCTAGAAGCCCACCCCGTGACTGCATGAGGCTATGGGAGGACATCTAGACACAAACTATAACATTCTACCCCTGGACCCCCAGACACTCATGCACATCCTTTTATACAAAAGGCATTTTAGTCCAACTCTTAAGAGTTGCCAAAGTCCTAACAGTTTCAGCATTGCTGAAAAGTCCAAGTCCTGTCTCCTCCAAGATCTAGGGCAAACTCTTAGCAGTGGTAAGCCCCTGTACAAATGAAAAAAATCACTTCCAACATTCAATGACAGAAGATAAACATCATCATTCCAAAAGGTACAAATGGGGATACAAAGGATTGGGACCAAAGCAAGTCCAAAATCCAGCAAGGCAAACATTAAGTTCTGTAGTTCGGAGCTGGGAATTTAGCTCAGTGGCAAAGCGCCTGCCTGGCAAGCACAAGGTTGTGAGTTCAATTCCTGGTACTGGAAAAAAACAAAAAAACGAACAAATAAGTTCTGTAGTTCCACATGCAGCATCAACATTCAAGGCAATCTGTGGCAAACTGTGAGTTCCAAAGGGCTTCTTGTGTGGCTCCACCCCTACGGCACTTCCAGTGGTTGTAGCTCCAGGACTTCTCTTTTAGGCCCGCTCTGCTCAATCCTTGCAGCTTTCATTAGATGACCCATGTTCCTGGTTTTTCCAAACTTCCTAGGGTCTCCACTGCTCCTTCGGCTTTACACATTGTCCTCTCAGGGGCACACTGCCTGGCCTCCCAGGCCTTCTGAAATCTAGGTGGAAGCTTTCTTACCCTCAAAACTCTTGCATGCTTCATGCGCCTAAAACCAGCACCACATGGATGATGCCAAGGTCCACTGCCAGCTGTAGCAGTAACCAGGCTTTCTTCTCACTTGGCTGTAGGGGTCAAGTGCCTGGATCACTGAGTACTCTAAACCTGATTCTGAGGAACAAATTCTCTATGCTGTTGCCGTTCTGGAACCTGGTGCAGCTGCCACCATTTTGGAACCTGGTGTGGCTGCTGCTGCTGCTGCCATTCTGGAACATAGCATGGCTGCCACCATTCTAAGACATGGTGCTCTATGGCTTTCTCCTCAGAGCAAAAGTTCACTTCTGCAGTTTTGAGGCTACAAAGGGTGGAGACTTGCTGCTTCTTCTGATGCCCTTAGGCCATCATTTATCTTGTTCCTTCTCAGCAATGGAGATCTCCTCAGCTCTATCTTTTTTTTTTTTTGGTTTTTCTCCGGTACCGGGAACCGAACTCACGACCTTGCGCTTGCCAGGCAGGCGCTTTGCCGCTGAGCTAAATCCCCAGCCCCTCCTCAGCTCTATCTTAGCAGTCCACAGATTTACTGGAGTTTCCTTTCTTGCCAAACTCACATTTTGTTTTGGTCTTTTTTTTTGGTTTTTCTCCGGTACCGGGAACCGAACTCACGACCTTGCGCTTGCCAGGCAGGTGCTTTTGCCGCTGAGCTAAATCCCCAGCCCCCAAACTCACATTTTAAATCATTCTACTGGCCTCTGTACTCTTGATTCTCAACACAAATCTGGCTAAAAGACCCAACAATAGCCATGCCCCCACCTCAACATTCAACTGCCTTGCAATTTCTTCTGCCAGATTAATTAGTGTGCCACCCTTAATCTCAGTCTCAGGCAAAGTCTCTGGACACGAGCAAAATGCAGACAAACTTTTTGCCAAGCCATAACATACATTGTCTGGAGTCCAACAGCCAACACAGTCCTTCTTCCCAGCAGAAACCTCCCAAGCCTGGTCTTTACCAGCAGAATTTCTATCAACCTTCTGGTTTTTTGAGCTCTGACCAGAATCTCCCATACAGAACAGCCTAAGGTGTTTCAGCTGTACTCTTTCAGGCAACATCTCTGAACCTTTCCAAATTCTTTCCACAAGCCATTCCCAAAGGCTCTTTAAAGCACATGGTGAGGTATGATCATAGCAGTGGCCCTACTCCTGGTACCAAATTCTGTCTCTGTTACTTTTCTCTCCTTGCTGAGACAAAATACCTGACGCTCAAAGTTAGGGAAGGAAAGGTTTATTTTGCTCACAGTTTGTGGAACTTTCAGTCCATACTCGGCTGGCTCGAAGGTAGAGTGGCACATGGCAGAGGGCAACAGTTCATGGTGGCAGAAAACAGCAAAAGCAGCAAGAGCAAACGGGAGGAGGAGCAGCAACAAGCCTTCTTCCTTCCCTTATATTGTATGCAGGCTACCTGCCCCAGGGTGGGTGTAGCACTCACACCCATAATCCTAGCGTCAGTCCATAAATAGAGAACTCTAGAAGCCCGCCCCATGACTGCATGAGGCTATGCGGGGGGAGGGGGGAGGGGACATCTAGACACAAACTATAACAACAGTTAATATCAATTTCAACCCTTTCAAGCTTCTAAAGTTACAGTAGTTCTCCAAGAAGTGCTAGGGGGAGTGGAGAATCAGAATCTTCCTGGAAGCTATTCTAAAAAGTTGCCTGCTGACCCTTCCTCCATCCAGTGGCTCTGTGTGTGTGTGTGTGTGTGTGTGTGTGTGTGTGTGTGTGTGTGTGTATAAATGACAGTACTGCAGTATTGGGAAATAAGCCCAGGGTCTTCACACTGAGCTACTTCCCCAGCCCTTTTTAAATTTTGAGACAGGGTCTCACTAAGTTTTCCAGGCTGGGCTTGCCTAGTATGTGCAATGCCTTTGGTTCAGTCCCCAGATTGACAAAAAATACAAATACATAAACCAGATATAATTCAAGTCCTGTTAATCTCTTCCTTAAAATCTCCCCAGTTCCTTCTTGCCTTTAAATTGAGGCTCACACTCCCTCTCATAATCTGCAAGGCTCTGCAGGTTCTGACTCTTGCTGACCTCCTTAAACTCATTTTAAATCACTCCCTTTAGCTCTCAAAACATCAGCCCAGAAAGTGTCCTTGCAGTTTCTCAAACCACCAAACCCCTTCCCATCTCAGTCTCTCTCCCTTTACATCCTAGCAAGTGATCATCACAATATATAACTGTTCGTGCATATACTGACTTACTGTCTGATCTGTGTCCCTCACTGAAGTATAACCTCTATGAAGGCAGGGTCTCTCTGTGTCTGTCTGTCTCTCTCAGATTAACATACCATGAAATTAAC